GCTGGACTATGCTAGGTTAACTTTGAACACTAGTTCTGCCAGCAAACTAATAGAATAGCAAATATGTTTTGAAGTGAATTATCTAAACTACATGAAGCTGATAGTTTTCCAGGCATGCCTACTTCTCATTCCCCGTTGCTCTGTTTTCACTGACTCATTTCACTCACACATCTTTCATGGCGTCATTCAATAATCATAGGCAAAATCCAACCTAAAAGTGGGTTGCTTTCCTTAAATTTATACAGTTTGGAAGTAGGATGAATTTTAAAAAGTAATAATACACATGTAGTCTCATTCAGTGCATATTTAATCATAATGAGATAGTGAGAAAAATTATGGCAAAACAAAAGTATGTTTCCTTATTAAAAAAATAAAAAGATAACATTTTCTCTTCTCTTCAATCTTATTTTAAAAAATATTCTGTCTTCCTTCAACTTGCCCTAACAGAGGCTTGGCTTTCCCCTCAAAATACCACTTCATATTCCTTTTAAGCCATTCCAATTCTGGTCCCCACTTCAACTTCTTACCAATTTCAAGGGCAAAGGAGAATAACCAGCAACTCTTTGCTTCTGACTGCTCCTTCCAGACACTTGATACCCATTACTCTCTTAAAGAACTCTGTTCTGCAAGCTACTCCAAGGAATGGCAGGTCTTGCCCAGGAATCCCTTCTCAGAGGGTGTGCCCAGGATGCTGGCTGAGTGGGCATCTGGCTGACTTCCAAAACTCAGCTCTCTGTAGGAAAGAAGAGATGCTCGATCCTAGCCACACCAGTCAGATCCCCTCTTTCTCTGGAATTTGGAATTAGAATATCCTTGATGTAGAATATGTCGAAAATGGTGTGAAAATAGCAGTGGAAGAAGAAATCCATACATTTGTACTTCAGTTCATTCATTCATTCTTTCACTCATTGTTCATGCAAGATAAACCATCAGCTGCTGGCCAGAAGGTAATTAGAATTATCTATCTGAAAAAGCAAAGTGTCCACGTGGGAAGATGGAAAAGTAGGTTCAGGCTAAAGCTGTAGCAGGTTCTGATGGCAGATCAAAGGTTTTGGTTTTATCTTTCAGTTAAAATGAAAAGGTAGCCAGCTTCATAGAACCAATCCATATCAATGTTCCCCTGCTTTTCCATCACTGTCCTTTCAAGACTTATAATTTGAACATAACCACCATGGACTGAAATATCATTCCAATCCACCATTTTTGTTACTAGGATTGAACTGTCTGTGACACCATCATTCTCCCTGACTTTAACAGGAGGCAGATGAAGGGAAGAATACAGAATGTGGCCTCTCTGTAAGTCTGTTTTTCCAGGTGGATTTTAAGTGCCTTGAGGACTGGTACTGGTACTTTGTCAATGTTTTTATCTCTAGATCTCTGTACACAAGAGATGCTCAGTCCACGTATGTAGACCAGAAAGGAATGGGAAACATTCATCCTTGAGCTTGGATATGGAACTGGGGTTGAATGTGATTTTAAAGAACATACATACACACATATTCCTTAGGATATCTGAAGAAATACCTTGCTGGGCATGGAGAGTGAGTCTGGGAAATGTGCTTTCTTTGGCATAAGGAGAAGGCAGGAGAAAAAGAAGTGGAAAGAGAGCCAAATACTTTCAAAGAACAACATTATGTCCTCAGGAAAGAGTGATTTAACGATATGCAACACACCTGTGCTTGCCCAACGGCACAGTGATTAAGAAATGTTGTTATCGCCTTCAAAAGCAAGTTTTCTGAAACATTAAATATGATAACCTCCTGGTGAATTTTTCCACAGCACTGCAGTAACCACTTCTAATCATGCAGCTCAAAAGATAAGGCAAGAGGAGATCTAACAGTACACAGGCTGCCCATGAAGAAATACTGTTCTCAAACGTAATCTATCAGGACATAATCTATTAACTGTTCCACTCAAGGGACCAACTCCAGTTCAAAACCTTTCTTTCTTCCAGGGAACTGGGTGTCTGGAATTACAAACACTAGGGCAAGAAGTTGTGCAACCATGAGTCAACCTATTTAGCGTCAAACCCTTCATTGTTTTAACTAGGCAAATGCAGGTTTTTCTAAGATGGTTTTTCAAATCTTACAAGATTCTAGAACACATTAACAACTCAATAATTAATCTGAATTTTAAATGCCGCTTCCAAAGAAAACAACAACAAAAAATCATTAGTTTTTAAAAATCTTCATAGCTTTGCTATTTGAACCACATGAAAGAGCTTTTTAGACGTGTGACTAGCTCATAGTGTCTTTCTCAATGATGAATATATGCTTCAACTTATTTTTAATATAGGTCCAGTGTGATCATTGTTTTATGCTGTGGAAGGGAAAAAAATCTGCAAATGGTTTAGTTATGACAATAACAGGGTGAGTCCAGGAAATTAAGCTTCCTTTTCACATAGCTCCCTTCTTCTTTGTGAATCAAACCGGAAGGATGAGCAAAGAGGTGGTGAATTTAGTATTAAGAAGGTGAACTTTATGACCACTCAGTAGAAAACTGGAAAGTCATCAAGAAGTCCCTTAGACCATACGGTATCCTGAAGCATGGCACAACTTGATAACTGAGAGTGGAATTGCTGAAATTTTTTGTTAAAAAATAATCATTCCCTTTTTAAACCTCCCCCATCACTACTCCAGCCCCCATAAGCCCAGGTTTTTCTCATGTCTTCACCCAGAAAACTCAGAGAGTAGAAAACCCAGAAGGTAAGTCCCTTCTTTCATAAGGACTAATCAGAGCATCAACTTAAAGACCGCTCACTCCTTCATTCATCCATTCAACAAGTATTTATTAGTGCACACTAAGTTCCAGGTACTAGAGAATATAACTGTAAACAGGAGGAGGCAGACAAGAAGCCAATTAATAGAATATGAGTGTTATATACATACTACAGTACATCAAAATATGTAGTTTAAGGTTCTAGAAAGAAGGCAAGGTAAAGATAGAGAGGGATTGCTGTTAATGACCATCTTGTTAGTTTTACAACTACAATATCAACATGGCAATTTGTGAAGTTTCAGTTGATAACTCCTTTAGGCTATGAGGGTTAAGATTTCAACATATGAATATCAGGGCAACAAATTCTACCTATAGTAAGAGTAAAATATGTGAAAGTAGGAGGAGAGCCAACAATCTGTAAAACAGGTCTGGGTATGAAAACTGAAATAGAGTGCCCATGAAGTGGGAGGCTCCTGGCACCTGGGATCTGCCCTGGGGAGCCTAACATTTCCAGTCTGGTGGGAGAGGACTCCAGAGGGATTTAAATTAAAACCGCTCTGTGTGGGAAGCATGCTGATTTTACACAGCACTGAAACGGGCACTGACCAGCAAGAATGGGCTATTCTGCATCCACTGCAGGCCCAGGCTCTGCACGACAATATTCCTTACTGTGCTGGCTTTCAGGGTTCCTCCCTGCATGTCTGTATGGCATTTAGTGTTTGTAGCAATCATTTAGCAAAGCTGCAAATAGTGTTCCATGCATTTTGTATGTCTGATCTGTCTCTACAACTTTTTCAGAAAATCTTTCCATTTTCCCAAAGTAAATTTTACAATATATGTGCATAATATAGAGCTTCATATCTTAAGAGGAGGAGGAGGAGGAGGAGGAGGAGGAGGAGGAGGAGGAGGAGAAGAAGAAGAAAGTAAATAGCTGAGGATGGAATTTTACAGACTTTATTTTTGGAGATTCCATTAAAAAATGTTTTCTTTCAGATATTTCTTCCAGTCTTATTGGGCATTTTCTGAAGGATACACAACATAACTCAGGGCTTGGAATAACTATATAAAGTTGCATTAGTTTTCCTCTGATAGACATGAATAAAAACACCATAAATGAAACAGGAGCTCCAGTCACGTCATAGATGAGGCAAAGATAAATTTGTGTAGAGTATCTTTACTGGAAAAATAAGAACTACGGATTCTGTGACACAGTTATAATTTGAAGTGAAATACAAATAAACATATTTATATTTTAAATAAAATAAAATACAAATAAAAGTTTTACATGTTTAAAATATTTTGAAACCAGGACATCCATATCAACACTCTGGTTTTCTAGTTTATAAATAAGGATCAGAGTGCACACTATTAAAACTCAGGGCGGAGGCCAGTCTTGGCCAGTGAACTTCTGAGTGTCAGAAGTGTGCTACATCAATAGCAGAGTTTTCACTAACACCAGTAGAGTTTATCTCTATGACTGGAGTTGATAGTACTCACTGCCACATACACTCAAATTTATCAAAGAATGTCCCATTGGCATAGCCAATTCAAATGTTTTTAAAAGATTCACCTGGAGGTGTAGCTCTGGTGGAGTGTGTATTTAACCTTACTCCAGGCTTTTAATTTAATCCCTAGTACAAAAATAAAATCAAATAAAATAAAGAAATAAGGATGGGGATAGTGCACCCAACTTTGTTAATCAGGTTCCCTTTCAACCAGGAGTTGATATAATGAAGGCCCATGGTCTGAAGACATTCTTGAGTAGTTGTTGACCCAAAGCTATGTAAATTATTTTATAGTCAGTAAATCTCGCTAACCAAATCCACTTATTTCTTACTTTTGTCCAAACCTGGCTATGTTAAGGCCATCGCTAATAACCAACAATTACCAATGGGTAATTCTGTTGATTTCACTGAAGTGTTAAATATAAAACCTGACTGACTCCTTCTCTAAGAAGCTTACAGTCAAGTGGAAAATGACAAAGAGATCATAATAACAACAAACCCACTGGGAACTTGATATGTTAGATACTGCACTAAGTTCTGTATCAGTGCTTTTTTGGGCTATTAAAGTTTGTTTAGGGCTGGGGATATAGCTCAGTTGGTAGAGTGCTTGCCTTGCTTGCATAAGGCCCTGGGGTTCAATCCCCAGCACCACAAAAATAAATAAATAAAATTTTATTTAACAAAAAGTTTAATATAAAAATATACATGACCCAATTATTATGTCATAGTTAAACAGGTGGAGAAGGGACACAGATTTCTCTGCTGAACAACCATTATTTATACTTGTTCCAATGCTTCTAATATGAAGATACTATTTCCATGCATCACCACCATTCCAATACTGTTCTGTTGCACACTAGTTGCCATCTCCACACATTCATCTATCATAAAATTCATAAAGGGGTCAAATTCCCGCAATATTCCTTGGACACGTCTGCCACCATTTAAAGAAAGTACTTTTGTTCCCCTGTGTTATCAGTGAGAAAATGGAGGCCTGCATAGGTGAGCCAAAGGTACAAGTTTGTCCACTCCGCTCCATGTGTAGCTTTTGACTGTCACTTTGTGACTTAATAGTTCCCCTGTGGACATGCAATGGGAATACTACTAGCAAAAGAGAGAGATACTGTTAATGTCTATGTGTGCTCCAAAATCAAGACAAATCAATCCACAAGAGACAGGCACTCTATGCAAAAGAGAAAGGCAATATCATAGTACGTGGCAACAAGTACTGTAAGTTGCCAACCTTGGATCAGACCTGTTCATGCCCACTAACTCCAGGCCTCAGTATTCTTGACTGTTCCACAGTCAGTGTTTGGCCACATCACAGCCAGTTTGGGCCAATGGTTCTCAGGCCTGAGCATACACTGGAATCACTGGGAAAGGTTTTAAAGCTCCTAATGCCCTAAATGAATCCAAGACTAACTAAAACCAGGATCTCTTGGGGAAGGATTCACCATTAGGGGTTTTTTAAATATTTATTTTTTAGTTTTCGGTGGACACAACATTTTTATTTTTTTATGTGGTGCTGAGGATCGAACCCAGAGCCCTGTGCATGCCAGGCAAGCACGCTACCGCTTGAGCCACATCCCCAGCCCCATCGTGAGGGTTTTTAAAGCTTCCCAAGGTGTGGCCAACTTTGGGAACCAGTGCTATAGGCTATACACCAGTGTCTCTCAATGGGAGCTCTTTTGTTCCCCGGAGGACATTTGGCAGGCACTTTTGTTGATTACAACTAGAGGAAAAGATGGTACTCGCAGCTGGAAGCCAAGATTCTACTCAACATCCTACTATGCAAAGGATTCCCCTTATCCCCAACAAAGAGTTACTGGCCCCAAATGTCAAGAGTACTGAGGTTGAGGAACTTTGAAGTACACATTGCTCCTGTTATGGTTTAGGTATGAGGTGTTCCCCAAAACTCATGTGTAAGAAACTCCAAGAATCTTCAGAGGTGAAGTGATTAGATTATGAAAGGTGTAACCTAATCAGTGTATCAATCCACACACACGGATTAACTTGGTGGTAACTGTAGGCGAATGGGGAGTGGCGGGAGGCATGGAGGCATGGCTTTGGGGTTTATATTTTGTCCCTGGTGAGCAGAGTGAGCTCTCTTTCTGCTCACCAGGGAGCCATGTTCTCCTGGTGGCAGTGTTTTGAGCTGCTTTCCTCCACCATGCCCTCCTACTGTGGTGTGCTGCCCAACCTTGGGCCCAGAGTAATGGAGTCAGTCACCTCTGAACTGAGACGTCCGGAACTGAGCACCAAATAAACTTTTCTTCCTCTAATTGTTCTTGTCAGGTCTTTTGGTCACAGATATGAAAAAGCTGTCGAAAACAAACTCCCTTAGTACTCTCTACACTCATAAGAACTGTTCAATAACTATCAACAAGATCTGAATGATTCTCTGCTGGCTAAAAATTCAAAAAAATTAAGAAGCTGATAAAGGTGGCTCGAATTATTGCTTTGCAAAGTTTCCTAAGGATAATATACTCAATCTTGCTTCGAACCAAATTTTTACAACAGATTTGAAATGAAAACATGTTTAGCACTGTGCACCATACCTCTTTCACCACAATTTCCTCTAACCACTTTTAGATTGAGAAATGTGATTATGACGAAGCCTTAAGTTATATGTTACTTCCTCTGTGTGCAGTTCTACATTGAGAAGTTGGTTGACAGGGAATAACTGTACTTCTCTGCCTGAGGACATCTTTTAGTTGGTAGTGCACATGACCCTCACTGAGATGCTAGCCAGAAGTACCACAAAGTTAATGTCCTGGAAGCATCTCTTAATGAAAAGATGGATGGATAGTTGGTTAGTAAGGTGTACCTGGGTTCCATAGCCTTCCATTGGGATATGCTGAGTTCTAGAGAGATTGAGTGGCTCACAGTGGGGCCTTCAATATGAGCTCATTCCCTTCACTGTCTGATGTCCTCACTCCATTCCAGTGTTTCCTTGAATTATATCTCAAATAAACTTCTGGCACTTAGATCCTCAACACAAACTCTGACTCTTAGGGTGTACAAAGATGAAACAAATCTCCAAGGAGATGAAATCATCAGATAAGCATAGCACACTCAAGAATGAAGAAGAGAGAAAAGAACTTGGGGACGCCTGAGTCAATACTAGTGCAAACAAAGAATCTTCAAAAGCTATTTGTAACATGCTCAGGAGACAAGAAAAGATAGGGCATCCACAAAGCAACGAGAGGATGCTATATTAAAAAGGAGCAATGAGAGAACAAGAAAGTAGTTTTGGAACTTAGAGATCTGTATGATAGATGGAATGGGAAAAAAATCAAGGCAACAGTGATAGATAAAAATATAGTAATTCTCCATAGGGGGAAATAAAGAGAGCAAAAATAAAAACAGAAGAGAAGGTGGAGAAAAAAAACAATAAGGCAACAACAAAATCAGTTTATTGGTGAGTTAATATAGGAGGTCCAACATTTAACTGACAAGATTTCCTCACACAGAGAACAAAGAAAATGGAGGCAAGAAATTGTACAAGAAAATGCCCCAGAACTGAGGTATAAGATCTTCAGGCCAGAGGTCCCAAGAGGGAATAGTTTAGGGCTTCAGGAAAAAAAAAATGAACAGTATGAGTAGATTATGTGATATATATGAGTATTTGGAAAAAATTATTGCTAGAAATTTGATAAATCCATTGTTGCACTTGGAAGAAGAAAAATAACAGACATTTTAATTTTTTTCTAAAAAAAATTTAAGAAACTAAGCAAATAGAAATGAGAAGCAGTTACTAGCTCCAAGAAACTTAATCATACAATATTATGTGACTAGAGTATGAAACAATATTGACAGGGTCAATATTTTATAAACATTGATTGGCTTGGTCCATAATGCCTAGAATTGATAAATCAAGAAATAGTAGTATGAGCATAATACTCAAAATAGTAAAATGTATATTCTAATTTTAAAATATTATTAACATTATGATTTATTTTAATATTCTAAGTTTTGTGTTCTGGAAGATACGGTACAGACTCTTAACATCTAGGCAGGAGAGAGTGTGAGGAAAGGCAGACAAAGGAATGCTATAAGCAGATATTATGTTAATTCATAAAAAAAATTTAGAAATGAAGTAGAGAACAGAGGGAAATATAGGAATATTGCAAGCAAAAATGAAAAAAAAAATCATTAACCTTGATTTTCATTATAGATGAAAGAATGCTTCAGATGAAAGTATTTGAAATGCAGGGCCCCAAATAGTCAAATAATTACCTATATTTTACATTTCACTTTGCTTATATAACCCTACTGTGTTAGTCAACTGTGACCAAAATATCTGACAAGAACAACTTAAAGGAGGAGAGATTTATTCTGGCTCAGTTTCAAAGGTTTCAGTCCACTGCCAGCTGGCTCCATTGATTTGGACCTGGGAATGTGAGACAGAGGAGGCTGTCATGGAGGAAGCAGAAAGAGAGACAGGAAGGGGTCAGGGACAAGATATAGCATCAAGGGCACCCCCGCCCCCAGGTCCCATTCCCTCCAAAAAGGTTACACCACCCACAGTTCCCACAGCTTTCTCATAGTCCATTCTGCTCTGAATACCTACAGGGATTGACCCTCTGCTGAGGCCAGAACCCCCAGGATCTAATCATCACTTCCCCAAAGCTCCACCACTGCTGCGCTCGAAATCTCACCCCTGCTCATTCACGAGCCTTTTGGAACATTCCAGATCCAAACCACAACACTTATTAAGTCACCTTCTTCGGGAAAAACCTTCCTTTTAACTTCCAATATACTTTAAGCCTTCTCTTTGGGTCATTCTATAAGTTCTGCAACAGCATTTTCTCATACTTATATACTTTTTTTTTTATTATTTTGTAAAATGCATTTGTAATCTGCAGGAATGTAACCCAACCCTCTGCTCCTGTCTCCCCTCTGCACTGTTATATTTCAGAAGAACTTGAGTTTCATCTCATTCCAATATAGATTTTTGCTTCAACCTATCAAAAATAAAAGGCCCATCAAAGAAATACTTGTTGTACTAATAATACTACGTAGTTCCTACACACCACGTTGAATCAATTCAAACTGCTTCTGTTTTGTATAGTTTTCATCTATGATTTTGAAAATGAGCTTTTGTGCTGCTGGCATCATGAATTCACTGGAGGCTTGGATGGAAGCTGAGTTCCTTCAGGGAGTGTTGACAACTGCTCTTGTCCCTCAGTCAGGGCTCTTCTCACCTGAGACTGCTTTTAATTATCTGCCCAAATATTTTTTTTTCCATATGCACAATGACATTGTCAATTCAAACCTAAATATTTATTAGAACGGATTTGCCTTTCAAAATCTCAAGAGAAATATTTTTTTTCCTTCCATCAGTACCAGATTTGAGACTTCCAAGTTTCTTTGTTGTGTATTCTGTGTGATGGGCTTTTGTTCCGTGTTTCCTACATGTTGAAGGTTCAGCCTCCTCACACCCTAACTTTAAGCAGCCCTCCTACTTGACTCCATCTCAGACAATTATTTTTTTCTTTTCTTACATGTACATAAACATGATATATTTTCCACCAGATGATCTCTTGGATTCCATACAACACAGTACTATATAATAGAATAAAAAAATGGAAGTATAATACTGGTTTAATAGCAGTTATGTAAGTACATTTATGTAAATTTACATAAAACAGTTATGTAAATTTACATTTTTAATAAAAGAAACATTCTGGCTTCTTTTAGCTAATAAGATCTTCACATTCCTACAATTTTTCACAGAAGTTTGCATTTGGCTGTGTAGTTTAAATAGTCGCCTCCTAGCTTTCCTTTACAAAACATTTTTTTCCTGCAACTTCCTGCATAATCAGCATATTAGTACAAATTTTACATTTGCCCACCAAAACCCACAGCAGCCTACACTGTGGTCTGGTTGATGGAAAACATGTGATATTACTAAAAATCATCAACAAAACACACCCATGTGGGATCATACTCCTCTCCCTTCAAAGCAAGCGAAATCCCTTTGGGATAGCCATTATACTGTTCCCTAATATGGCAAATTCAAAACTGTCTCATGTACCCCCAAAAGACCTTTTTCTTTCTTTCTTTCTTTTTTTTTTTTTTTGGTACCATGATTGAACTCAGGGGCACTTGGCCATTGAGCCTCATCCCCAGCCCTATTTTGTATTTTATTTAGAGACAGGGTCCCACTGAATTGCTTGGTGCCTCACTTTTGCTGATGCTGGCTTTGAACTCTAGATCCTTCTGCCTCAGCCTCCCAAGCTGCTAGGATTACAGGCATGTGCCACCACACCATGCTCCCAAAGACCTTTTTCAACATATGATTAAACCCTTTAACTTACGTGATTGAACCCTCTATTTGGAAATAACACTAGCTAGGTTTGTGCTGTGCCATATTACATGGTTAGTGATTATTGAGTCTTCAATCAGCTCCAGCAATGAGCTGACTGCTTTTTATACACAATCACTTTACTCCTTACAGCAAACCCAAGAAGAGGAAATTTACTTTACTGGTTAAAAAATAGAGGCTTGTAGTTTAGTAACTTCAATGAGCTCCCACAGCTGGGAAGAGGTGGAATAAGAATTTCAGCCTAGAGAGAGTGAATCGCAGGTCCACCCTCTAAGCCACCAGACTGTATGTATTGCTTACTGCTTTGAGAAAAGGGGGGAAAAAAAAAAAAACTATGATGGAAAGAAACATGGCAGTTTGCACAGCAATGCACATAAACGGGATTTGTTAAAAGCAGCCACACTCAACAACCAGTCAAATTTTAGACAAATCTTTCCGCACTTATCAACATGCCAAGAACAATGCTTGCAACCACAAGAGCAGTTGTTTAAAAAGTACTGAGCTCACACATGGGTCATCATTTTAATTTCCTTCATGATCACTGTGCATCCCGAACTTTTCCATCTCGTCCACGGAGAGTGAGGCTCATCTCTGTGGGTCTGTTAGAACACTGACCTCGTAGTGGGTAATGTATATTTCCGCTGAAGTCTCACTGTGCAGGCCAGAGCTGAAGGCAAGCATTAGTATAGATCAAGGCCAGTGAAGTGGGTAATGAGGTTTGGTACATAAAACACTTGGTATAAATGCAGGGGAACTTCTGGCTTTTCTTTAACATTAACTACTTCTAAAGGCATCACGTGAAATGGAATGCTTGGAAGGCCAGTAGCTGAAAGGAAATAAT